CATGCTCGCCTTGTATGTTGTTGCATACTTTGCTTATCGCATGTCGTTGCATGCTTAAGTTGCATTTTGTATCCTTGTTAGCTTGCATCTTGTCATGTATGTGATATGTTGATTACATGCTTGCATGTTTGCATGCTTGTTCACATGCTTGAGTTGTTTGCATGCTTGTTTGCATGCTTAGGTTGCATAACATTGTGTGTGCATTGCCTTGCCTCTTGATCACACATGATAGAGGTTAGGGCCCTTTGTGTGTTTTGCGCATTTCATTCCATATTGAGTTGCATGCTTGACTTTTTTTGGGCCATCATGCATTGCAATACGTGATTGATGGCCCGAGAGTCGAGAACCATGCTCCTCTAAGTCTCAAACATGCTGAGGAGGGTGGTAATGCATAAATTGCTTTGAAAATGCATCGCCATGTTCTGTCTGTCCTCTGTTGCAGCAAACCAGTGTTCTGCAGGAGGAAATGGCTGGTTGGCAACTTTCAGTGCCGGCCGACTACCAAAATAGTGCCGGTGATCCCATTTTTGGTCGATGACCATAACTCCATGGCCGGTGTTGTTTTCTCTTGGTCGGTGACATCCTACTGTGCTCAGGGAGTGATTCTGAAGCTTCCTTGGGACTTGTGAAGTTTTCAGAAGTACAGATCAGTGTAAACAGAGGTAGCATGAGCATGGCGACGGATTTTCGAGCGAAACCGAGCACTCACGCATTTGCCCCTCTTCCCGAGGCTACTTTACTGCTTTCTTAGCTTAATTAATCTGTTTAATTAGTTAAGCGTTGTGTAATATTTAGTTAGCTTGTTAGTTAATTAATATGTATTATTCTTTCAGTCCCTCCCTCGAGAGGGCGCAATTGTGTAATAAGCGTGCGTGTGTGTGATGCAAGTCTTCTAACCTCCAATTCTTTCTCCTTTTTACTTAACCGCTTACAATGGTTAGCTATAGGGCACGTTTCAATTATCATCTTTATGCTATGCATGTTTGCATCATTCATCAGTATTGCATGAACCGGGCTCGGCGCATCATACTAACTGTATAGTATTTCAATACCAAGTTGAATACATGTGTTGAATTGTCACATCTCATATGCCATTTTAGATTAGCCGAGCCTATTCTAGTTGTATTTTGCCTGCGATGCATTAGCCATCTTAACATGGATTTGAATCATACATTTGATTACTAACATATTCCTTGTTTTGGCTCGAAGTACACTATGAGTATTTATGCTTTAGCATCTTGCATGTATGTGAGTTTTGCCATGATAGCATGCTTACCATGAGGCTATGTGCTTATGTGATATAACTGCCTGAATGCCTGTGGGTGAAGGTTGGGTTGCTTGAATTTGAATAATTCGTTGAAACCCGTGTTTTAGCCTACTTGTGAGTAGCAAACTTCAAACCATTTCCAAACAAACAGATATGCGATGCTTTGTTCCAAATTAGGCGATCTAGTCTATACTTGTGTGTTGTGCGCATCACATAGTAAATTCTATCTAATTAACCGGAATAGAACGCATATGTTTTCCAAACTCGATATCATGCTTAGTACAGGCCGATCTTCGGATCGAGCGAGCGGGGGCGCTCATAGATGACCTTCCCCAATCGTACCCAAGTTCCCAAGCCGAGACAACTTTGGTGATGGCGGACACGTGGCCTTAGGCAACGAGTCAGGGTTTCCTAAATTTTCCAAAATAAAATATTTAGGTGGCGACTCTGTATCTGGCAAAGCAGTCCATGTTTGGCACTTCTTTCTAAAAATCAGTTTTTCAAAACGATTTGTTAGATTTGGACTCTTTGATGATTCATCAGACTTGCATTGCACTCCGCGAGATTAGATACAGGACCGAGACAATGAGTCCGAACTGTGGAAAAGAATAGGCCCCGAGGGTACGTCCACAGTCGCGTATACATGTGTTGCAAATACTTTGCCATGCCCCTTTCTTGCCCTAGGTTGCAGACAACCAGAAATTAGTAGCAAAAACTGGTCGGCCGACCAGATAAAGTGGCTGGCCGACCACTTTTTCTGGTTTTCACCACAAAAACTGGTCGGCCGGTGGTCTCCAAGGCCAATATTTGGTCGGCAGCATCCCTACAGATTCCCAAGGTGGAGTTTCATCTCTCTGGAGCTTGGTGCAAGTTTCTGAGATCAATTACAAACAGAGGCAAATCGGGGCGGCGCGAGGGATTTCCGAACAAGGCGACTCGAGCATGCATGCATCCTTTGTCATCCAAAGCAAAGCTGAGGTAGCCTACATATAGTTTATACGCTTATTTAATTGCTAACTTAGTTAATTTGTTGATTAGTTAGAGCTGTGTAATAATTAGATGTAGCTTGTTATTCATTATGTTGTGTAATAACTAGTTTAATTAGATTAGCTTAGATTAGCTAGTCGGTTCTATATTATTCATTCGGACCCTTTGTTGAGAGGGCCCAACTGTTGTAAATAAGTGTACGTGTGTGTGATGCATGTCTTCCAACCCCCATATCTTTCTCCCTTTTATTTACCAGCTTACGATGGTTAGTTTTAGGGCATGTTTCAATTAGCATCCTTATGCTCGCATGTTTGCATCCATTCATTTGTCTTGCATGCACTAGGCTCAGCGCATCATACTAACTGCTTTGTATTTCAATTCCTGTTTGAATACATTTATCAAGTTGCATTTCTCATGACATTTTCGAATAGCCGAGCCTATCTTAGTTGCATCTTGCATGTGTTGCATTAGGCATTCTTGACATAGCTAGGATCATGCATAATTACTAACTATCTTTTGTTTTGGCTCGGAGTACTCGGTAAGTGTTTATGCTTTAGCATCCTTGCATATGTGTGAGTGACTGCCATGATAGCATGCTTGCCATGAGGCTAACTGCTTATGTGATATAACTGCCTGAATGCCTGTGGGTGAAGGTTGGATTACTTGAATTGGAACAATTCATTGATTGCGAGTTTTAAGCCTACTTGAGAGTGGCAAATCACCATGTTTTCTAAGCCCGCTTAAGGGCGGAAAAATCCGCATTTTAGCCTACTTGCGAGTAGCAAACCGCTTTAAAAAGCAAACATGAGATGTTTTGTTCCAACTTAGGCGATCCAGTCTATACTTGTATGTTGTGCGCATCACATAGTAATTCTAGGTTAATAACCGGAATAAGAGCACATGTGTTTTCAAAAACAAGATATCATGCTTAGTACAGGCCGATCTTTGATCGGCCGAGCGAGGGTGCTCATAGATGACCTTCCCTTCTCGTACCCAAGTTCCCGAGCCGAGGCAACTTTGGCAATAACGGACACGTGGCCTTAGGCACGAGTCAAGGTTTCCTAAATTCCCCCAAAATAAAATATTTAGGTGGTGATTCTATATCTGGCAAAGCAGTCCATGTTTGGCACTTCTTTACAAAAATCAGTTTTCCAAAACGATTTGCCGGATTTGGACTCTTTGGTGATTTATCAGTCTTGCATTGCACTTTGCGGGATTAGATTCAGAACCGTGACATTTGAGTCCGAACTGTAGTGAGCCCCAATGAACAAAATGGGATTTTCCCGGGATGTTCGGGTGTGTCTACACCGAGCGATCAATTGATGACGTCTGAATCTTAAGGTCGGTCAAAAATGGGGTGCCTACACTCGCACATTAACTTGGCTTGTGTCCCAAACAATCCATATCCCTCACATACGTCCAACAGGGTCAACAACAGTTGAGGCTGTGAAGCCCAATCTAGTGAAGAAATTACCCATTTTGCTAAAAGGCACTTTGGTTTCCATAAGGATTAAAATATCAAGCTTATGGTTCTAAGAAGTTCTGTTAGATGGTGTTTGAAGTTGTTATTGCCGCCTCCCCGGCAAGTCCAAAACAATATTTTCAAATAAATCCATAGAGGTTTAGATAAGGGGTGAGTCAGTTACCAGGTCCTTAGCAATGTTCTAAATCCTCCTTCGATCGTCTGCCTCTGATCTCATGGAGGCCATCTGAATGGAATGGGTTGGATGTCGATTGTTGTCCTCCCACTTTAGCTCGATTGTCATGCGGATTTGTTTTATCCACCAGATGAAAACGACTAGGTGAGATACTTCTGTCCCTGGTCCTAACAACAGGGCCACTGTGCTGTTTTGATTCCGGTGTTCTTCTATTTCTATCATCTGATCGACTGGATTCTATGTGGTTTGCTAGTCCATTGTTGGTTTCGCCCGGATCTGGTGGGTCACTATCTTTCAATTGGGGCTCTGAATGTTGATGGAGTGAATTGTTGACTGCGGATGAGGTATCAAATGGAGTTTGGATTGTAGTAGCTTCAACCATGGTTAGGTCAAAAAGATCTTTGTGGGTTGTCTCATAGAGGAATCATGTCAGAAGAGGTCTGGGTCGACTGTATGCTATCAGAGTGGGAGGGGACTAAAGCTTGGTTACAGACTCATGTATCTGCCCTAGAACCGCTGGGTGGATAAGATGTACTCTCCGCCATTTTCGGCCCTAGTGGTTAATGCTGAGTAGGTGTATTAGAGGTTTGTGGGTTGAGGGGGTTTGACCCGATTACCCCTTTTGCCCTTAAGGGCTTTTGATTGGACTAGATTCACTTCCATAGTAGGCTCTCCTTGGATTTTTTGAAGGCCTGATCTATTGGTTTTTCTACCCCTATTGTTGCTATCAGTACCAGCTTGGCCCTCGTCCACATATTTAAATTTGTTATCTGTAATTATTGGGCCAAATGAAGTTTGGGCCCTCCTGGGCTGAATTGGTCTTCAACCCCTTTTAGTGACCAACATCCATGGGCCGAATTTATCTTCCTTCCCTTTCTCTGTCTGCAAGTTGCCGTTAGCTTCTAGCATGGGACTGTCAGGGACGTCTTTACCGGTAACGGCTAAATTATTCTCCGCCAGTAGGACAGTGGGAGATTTGAACCTGCAGACTTCTTTTCTATGATCAACTCTGCCACAAAGAAAGCAAAAGGAGTGTAGAGATTCGTATTCTATGTTGTAGTACCTCTCTTCCAAGATAAATTTGGGCTTCAGAAGGGAATTGAGATCCATTTCAATATAATCCTTGCAAATTTCCCCCTCATCGCCATAGTCATGGTCCAATCAATCTTAAGAGGTTTCCCTAATGATTTGGCAATGGCAAAAAGGACTTTCTCCTGGTAATACTCAATCGGAAGCTCCGAAAATCGAACCCAAACTGCGGTTATGGTTTCAAAGGCTTCCAATGGTTTGAAATTCGGTTCCCACCTTCGCACCATGAGGTAATGGTCCATGATTACCCATGGACCTCCTGTAAAAACATGGGTACAGTCAGCTTGTTCAGAAAATTTAAAAAGAAAGTAGTTGTAACCCAGGTCAATGGCATTAAAGTCCCCCTGCAGACCCCAAATATTCTTGACTCGAGTACATAGCATTTTATATCCTATGTTCTTGCCCAGAAGCCTGACAATTAGAGCATTCCTCCATGGTTGCCGTATTTTGTCCAGTAGCTTCTTAGGTAGGGTGACTTTAGGAAGTCCCAAGTGTTCTAAGTAGGAGTGGTGGATTTCAGATTGGCCCTCAAGCTCATTATCCTCCTCATTCGACGAGAGGATTTCTACCCTACTATCAAATAAATAATCGCCTCTTCTATTCAGGTTCAGGGCATTCTTGAAAGATTTGGGAGGTGGGGTAGGAGAGCCGATAGCAGTAGAACCTTGAGCGGGGGTTCCCCTTTTCAGATCTTCAATCTCCATGTTCACCCCATTTTCCATGGTTGCTTCAACAGGTGAATCAAAACTTTTAATTTTTTTGATGCTCTGATTCAGATGGTCTTCTTCTTTAGATGTTTTCGCAAGGTTGAGGGGATCTCGTGGGTCCATCGTTTCAGATGGTCTTCTTCTTCGGATCTCGTGAGTGTATGCTTGTAGAGAAACGGAAATTACAATCAATATGTCTTCGATTGAGAGACTTCCAAGAGTGTGTGCTTAAGAATTTACAGTACTTGTAAGTTGTGTTTTCATGTTATGGAATTTTTTTTTCTTTTTGCGTTTGTTTTTGTACAATTGTTACATTCAGCTTTTTCTATTTTAAAGTATGTAACGTTATCAAGTATTCACTTATCCCAAAATAATAAGTATCAGCTGGCTGCTGTTTTTTTCTTCACTCTTATATGTACATTCTTAGTTGGACTTGGTTGACATTTATGTTTAATTATTTTTTACATACTAGGCAGAGTTGGAATTATCTACATTGTAGACATTTTTTTTTTTGTCAGTGTTATTTGGTTTACCATCTGGTGACCAAAGATCATAGTTATTAACTTTTGGGAATGGGGAAGCGTAGGCACTGCAAAAGTAGGTAATATGATAAGGAAAAAGAGTTCTCTAACAGCAGGGTATCCTTCATTAGTACATATCATGATAAATATAATGTGGGAACAGTTTTCGGTATTTAAACTAAAGAAAGGATCTATTGAAACAAAAGAGCATGGTTTGATCTTTGACATGATGCTTGAAGATAAGCTATAATGTGGGTTATTGAATTTTGAGGTATTTGGCCATAAAATTAAATTATAACTGAATAAAACTAAAAACAAATTGGTACACTCCTGAAAATATCCTTTCTTTCAACATGACAATTTTTAAAAGAGGTGCCTGTGCTTTTCTAGAAAGTCATGTTTTCCTTGTGGGAGTTCTAGTTAGTCGTTATGAAATCCAAAGAGAAAAGGAATTACGGAAAAGAAAGTGCCAGTGCTTGAGTTTTTGATGTATTTGAAAATTCACATTTGGTTAATTATCTCATAGTGTTTCTACTCCACATACTGGGATAATTTGAAATGTTGGTAACATTATCTCATAGTTATTTAGAAAAAAGTCAGCTGTTTGCTTTCAAGAATGAGTTCATTCAAGGATGATGATCAGAGTAATGGAAAAAGGACAATCTTGGTTCACTTCCAGGTGATATTATAAGACCGTGATAATTTTTTTGGTAAAAGAAAAAAATTTATGCACAGAGAGAGAGAGAGAGAGAGAGAGAGAGAGAGAGAGAGAGGGTTTAAATAACCAACCAAATGCTGGGTTTAGTTCTGGTTGATTCTCCTTTAAATTGGCCAGGTGGAATTTTGGACCAAAATTTGGACTACACTTTAAGCCGTGAAGGGTGAAAGTGAAAAGAGTTCTCTTGAGTTTCTGGGTTTTACTCTTTGGTAACAAATTTCTCACTACTATTGGATGTATTTGGTGCATGAGTATATAGTTATCATGACTTTTTAGTCCAGATATGTTACGTTACCCAACGAGAGATATTGGATGCATAACCATCTGGAACTTTGATATTTTTTAGAAGTCTACAGAACAGAATTTTCTCTCTGTTGTTCATGGCAAAACATGCAGGAGGCAAATAATACTTGTTCCCAACCCTTTTCTGAGGATGTAGTGCCTTCGAATTCGCATATCTTGCAAATCTCAACGAGTATTTAAATTGTCATTCCCTTAACATTTAATATCGTCTACAATACATTATCACACACGTTCTTCTCAATGTGCATCATATCAAGATTGTGGCGAATCAAATTATGTTCCCAATATGACAGCTCAAAGAAAATACTCTTCTTCTTCCAATTATGACCTGACTCCTTCTCATTTTCCTACCCTTTTCTATTTTGTTTGCTAGATTGTTGATGCTTAGAATTCAATTTGAACTTAGGCTTAGGCCCTAGTTATTGTAGCACATTAACCCCTGATAACCGAGTTGGACATGGTTCAAATTCACGAGTGCTATCAAAAAACGCACTAGTTTTCCAAAATTTGTGACCCACATTCAACCAGCGACAATGCCCCATGTAACAAAATTTCCTGAAGTTCTTCAAATGTCGAGAACGAGTATGTGTGTTATAACAAGGACAAACTAAAGTGCCTTTCGTGCTCCATCCAGAAAAAATTGCATAGGTAGGAAAATCATTTATAGTCCATAATAACACAGCATGCATTCAGAACATCAAATTAGTTTCAGCATCATGCGTTTCAACACCATTTTTCCATAATTTTTTCAATTCATCCACTACACGGCGTAAGTAGACATCAATGTTATTTCCAGGTGAAGAAGGACCATCGATGAGCAATGTCATCAACATATAAGGTTGCTTCATACACAACCATGGTGGCAAATTGAATAATAACTAGCCAACTGCTATGAGAGACATTCATTGCGTTGAATGAATTGAATCCAACCGCTGCTAAACCCAGTCTGACATTGCGAGGCTTACTTGCAAACTTGGGATACAAATTATCAAGAATTTTCCAAGCAGGAGAGTCAACGGGATGTCTCATTTTGTCGTCATTAATTCGGCTCTCTGTATGCCATCACATTAAAGAAGATGTTTTGGATGATATAAATAATCTTTGAAGCTTCGGAATCAAAGGAAAATATCTGATAATCTTTTGTGGAATTCTTTGTTTCTTCTTCTTAACACCATTCTCCTCCCCCTCAAACTATTTATATCTATGCATATGACACACTATGCAATTATCCATACTAGTTGTTTCCTTTCAATATAGTGAGCAATCTCTTGGGCATGCATGTACCTTATAATAATCGAGGCCAAGTCCCCAAGGAGTTTCCTAGTTGCATAAAATGACTTTGGCAAGGTTTCACCCTTTGGGAACGCATCCTTCAAAAGCTCAATCAACATCGTGAAAGACTTGTCACTCCATCCACTGAGGCACTTTATGTGCAATAACCGAACAACAAATGAGAGAATTGAAAACTTCTAATACTCAGGATACAAGTCTCTTTCAACCTCCTTCAATAAATTGAAGAATTTTTCAGTTTTTTCATTTGGACCTTGGTTAATACCAGAACTTGCTGCCTCGTGAATAAAGCTTGGTGGTAGAAGTCCAAATCCCTCATATAGTATTTCATAAGTTTCATCACCATCATTCAAATCAGTTTGCTAGACATTCATATTGTGTGGCATAGGCGACGACAAATTCTCCCCATGAAAAATCCAACTGGTGTAACTTGGAAGAAACCCATTAATCATTAAATGTTCCCCTCACAGGCTTTTCTCCACTAATTCACCATTGACTTATTTTTGCATGGAAATTTAATAAATTCCTTAACCCTTTGTATGTATTCCGGGTGCAACCTATACTGATTTATCCAACTTTTTGCTGATTTATCCAACTTTTATCCCTCTGACTCCGTCTTACACTACAAATGTCACTGCCAAATTAACAAAGTTCAAAATTACCATTCTATTTTAATTAATCTTAACCTCAATTAAGTACCTTATAATACATGAGACAAGACATCATTCACCTCTAGCTGGTTTCTAATATGTTGGTTCATCCTACTTTCCCATTCAAGAATGCACAATCCATATTGTAAAAAGTAGTTCATACCACTCTGTTCATCTCTAACGAAATTTCGGTAGCATCTTCCCATGGTTCTCCAAGTACATGACATAGACTAGGTGTATTGCTACACCTTGTCTAGTATGCACCCGGAGAACGTGAGAAGTTGCTACACGAAATCTCTACGAGATGGATTATAAGTGGTAGAACTACTAATTACAATATAGACTTGTGCTCCTGAACTATCCAAACTGGATCCAAGAAGAGTTTCATCAAAGATGACTAGATATCTCTAATGAAGATTTTCGGACGGATCTAAGGCTATTTATGCATGCATGCACCATTAATGATTGCATCCCGGTGGTGCAATCTAAATCGGTACTATCAAGCATACTATAAGCATATCTAGTATGAAGCATTTTAATGAAAAAACCAAAAGTTTCGACAATGCTCTTGATAGATTATGATAGATTCAAGAAATACATTGCTCTCTTAAACCAATCAATAAATACCAAACTATTACACCAAAGCAGATGGCAAAGTGGCTCTCACAACAAACAAATTCTCCAATAACAAATCAAGTCCTAGACTTCTTCTTCATTTTAGATAGGAATCAAGTCCTAGTCAATACTTCACTTTTGTAAGAAAACTTCAATTGAATTTACATATAACATACGGGTGAAAAAATACACAGCAAAGATTGTAAGGATTTTTTGGCCATGTTTCAATATTTATGGACTTTAAAGTCTAAAATAGGGTGAAGTTTAACGTTGTAGACACCCCATTTTTTACCATCTTCAAGACTTGGTTGTGCTTGCAGGTACATCCAACAACTAGTTCGATTGCTCGTCGAGTACTCGACTGTCGTGGCGGAACGTCACAGGTTTGAGCTTTCCAAACACTGTATCCTTTCTGCCCTTTTTTGGACCATGTATTGGCCCTTCCAGTTTGATTCTCTTGGTGCACTGCTGGCTCCATTTTGGCCCTGCCGGCCATGCATTTGTTACTACCGGCCATTAATGAAGCCTGCTGGCCATCAATGAGCCACTGCCGACCACTACTGATGGCTGGCAGAACCCTTGTCTTAGCAGGTTTCACGCCAGATCTTTTGAGCCAGCTGGTTTTCACTCTTTTCCCCTCCATACACGTGTATCGAAGGATGAAGCTCTTGCCAAGCTTGTTTAACAAGCTTTGCATTGTTTTTCTTCTATATAAGGAGAGACCCTCTCTCCTTAGCAGAAGGTCAGCCATTTTAGAGAAGAAAGACCTCTCTCTCTCTATATATATTGCATAGAATAGTGTTCTAAAGTCTATTTTTCTTGCACTTTTACACTACAACACATAGAGATACACCACCATCTTTGGGCTGAGGTTCTTGGGAGTGTTACTTGAGCTCTGAAACTTGGTTTTTGGCCCCCTGAGGTTGCTGGTTTCGAAGTTGATCTTCAAGGGTGAGTATATTCCCCATTTTAGCATTTATTTGTACCTCATTTTGGCCATCCTTGCATATTATTTTAGGCCTTGCT